GTGCCTCCAGGACCATGGTCAGGCAGCTTGATCATCTCCAGTCGGCACCCTGAGGGCCACAGGAGGCCCTACTCATGGGTTTATTATCTGAAGGGTATTAAGTTATCTAAGAGACATGTGCACATGCAGAGAGATTGACTATAGATGTAAACATGAATGCACTTAAGAAATTAGGCCTTTCATTTCTGGATGTTCATATGTTTTGTTATTTTTCTGTAGAATGTTACTCATTTAATTGCCAGAATGTGTTGTGTATTTGTGTGATTTAAATAATTAGCTGTCACAAATCTGTTGGTTAATATTTAATAATTAACTCAATACATCCTGCATATAAAACTTGCCCACGCACGTCACTGCACATTTCTTACCACATGGGGGCAATCGTGTCAAGTGATTGACCCTTTCTTATGTTCCAGCGATGGGGCAAGATGTACAACATACCTGACTTTACTTCCTTGTGGTAATCGCGATAACCTGTTTGTTAACTTTGCATTGTGACTGAATTCATCCAGACTGCCCTGCGTGCTGTTAAACACATGGTACATTACGGGGAAGACAACAGTACAGCGGAAAGGGCAAAGCTGGGGGAGTCGCTCATTACCAAAGGTTAGAGCTGTCACATAACACTGATCCGCTAATGACTCCTTTTTACTCCATGAGGAAAATCCTCTGATCCACCCATTGCCACACATGACTGGTGGCCCACACCTCCTGTTGTCACTGTGGAAGGAATAAACTGCCACGATCTCCAGTCAGATTCAGATACTTCAAAGTGATCTGCAACTTTGCTATTTTACAACACCATGAAAAATAGTCCCGTGTTTTTACACTGTAGTAAGAAAAGTATTAGCGCTGGAGGCGAGACATTTTGGCACTTGTAAATATGAAAGCGTTGATAATAACACTAAAATAAAAAAAGTGCAATAAACTGACTTAAATCTCCAAAGCTGTTAAATATCAGCGCCTACAAGCACGTATGGGTAGATAGGGTAGCTCTGTAGGGTGGGTGGATGTGATTTGGGGTGGGTGCTGTGATGTAAGAGGGGAGCTGGGGTGGGGGTTCTCTCTCCCCCATAGAGCGCAGCATGAGCGCTCCGCAGCAAAAGGATGTGTGAGCAGGCAGCGCGCTACTGTAGGGACGGAGTCCACAAACTGCTGAACAAAGAACAAGCCAAACTTCGAGCCCAAGAAAGCCGCGAGCAGCCGAACCCCGTAGCCGGTCAGGACAGCGAGTCCGCAACGGCAGCGCAGTCCGGAAACAGCGGCGCCCAGCCCGGTGGAATCGACGGGCTCGTCCGCTGGATCGTCACCAAAATGAGCGACAACAAGAACATCTCCAGCCGGGAGTACGCCTCCAGTAAGGAGGAGGTGGCCGTGGCTCAGGAGCAGTTCTTCGCTCCGGAACCGCGGAGAGGCATCTCCGTTATTTTGGATGTGAGTATGGAAATGCACCGGTTTGGCGGGTGCAGGGCGGGTGGGTGCTGGTGATGAAGACATCCAGCGCGTACGGACCGGTGCAGTGCGCACTTACGCGCAGATACTCGTGGCTTGGTAGAGTAGGCGGAAGATTTAACACTTTGGTGATGAATGTGGAAGCCAGGCAGCAACCTCAACGCGCTGAGCTCAGTTTCCATATCTTTCCTGAATGACCCATCCAAAAAATTCACTTTTATTGCATCTTATTAAGCAATATTCTCTTATGCGTCTTTGTTCACCTCTTCATCACCAATAAAAGTCATGCATTTATAGTCGAGAGGCAGCTTTACTTTTACTCCTGGCTTTACTGTCAGTCCAACGTGCAGTAGCTACGCTCACACCAATTTTATGACTGCTATTTAATTATTCATGAGAAAGTCTTACTACCATATTGTTATTGATCCATTCCCTACAGCCACTGCTTAGTATTCTCACTCCCGATGTAATACATTTCTGTTATCAGACAGCTAATAACTGAGCAGCCTTCCTGCATTAAAAGTGGCACTTAGCGCAGTGCTGATTTGGGTCAACTCATCAATACTATTGGGTTACTTTTCATGTTGGCGGCTGTAAATGTTTCCCCAGGAGATCTGATGATGCTGCTTTATTAGGGTAAAAAAAAGTGAGAAAGTAGTTCAGCTTCTGCAAAATCCTGACCCAGACCTAAATAATCTGATAGGGTGGTAAAGAAGGGGGTCCATGGAAAACTAATTATGATCAAGACCAGTACACCAATGTATCCTAGTACCCTAGTAAACTCATTCTGTCTGTGTTTGTGTGTAAAGGATGTTGTGAGGGGTGTAACCTAGTTTGCTGCGTCTTTGAGCCAAGCAACTGTCCGCTAAGACAGATGTTACAGTAAAAGTGTTTGTAAGTGAACAAGCAAACAAAAAACTGTGCTGCAGTCATATCTATATTTGAGGAGAGCTTCGTTTTCATTGTATATGCATGTATGTGTTCATATTTCATTTTCTGATTAAAGGTCCTGTTGGATTGCTTCATTTTTTGCGGTGTTTTTTTACCCTCTCACTCCCTGTTAGAAATGTGCCATACTCTCTCAGAGTGGCTGACTTCCTGATATCAGCTGTGAACTCATTCTGGAATTTTCTCTTGAGCCCTCTGCAACGGCTTCAACTTTGAAATCTTAATCGTTTCTTCATTTTCCAATATTATTGACTCCAGCGTTATTATTGTGGTGAACAAGTCGAGACCAAGAGGTTTGAGTGATTGCTCTGCACGTGCGCATGTGCCTGCGGACAGCGCTTCCCTCATTAGATCCTCAGCCTGCTTGTTTTTCCTTTACTGTTCAAGTCTTCGTCTGCATCTTAACCCCACTGTACCTTTCTCGCTATTCATTAAATTCCTTTCATCCTTTGTCTCTTCCTTTTCCTTCCCTTCTCTCCTCACCTAATTTCCTCCATATCCTTCTTGCCCTCCCCCCCTTCCCAGAAACATACATTCTTAATAAGGTTAGAGATGGATGCAACACTCTCCTCTGCCTCTGTCTTCTTTTTCTATTTTGCCGGATCTTCTCTCCTCTGCTGTCGCTCGTTTTCTTCTCACTCTGTGTTTCTGTTACGACTCTTTACAAAAACACACAAACGCGCACGCACACACCGCCTCTTCATCGCAACACTTTGCCTCCTCTCCAAGCTTGTTTGTTTCCAGTAGCTCCAGAGTTGGCTCTTTTTCTGTGGAGTTGAGTGCACCCCAGGGTGCAGCCGGAAAGCAGAACAATGCAGAGCAGCTTGTCATTTGGAACGCCACTCGTCTCAGCAGTTAATGATTTTCTCTTTGGCCTGTTGAGATGGCTGCAAATGCTGTGTGAATGCACCACTTATTTAGAGTTTATGTTCTCCTCATGCTTGTAGGTGCAATAATCTATATTCCAGTTTATGCACTAAAAAGTGGGACCCTTTCTCAAGTTTTCAAATTGCATTCATGATTATTGATCACACTATTTAGTTTCCTTTAAAATTAAGGCTGCAACTAACTGTAAACTCATTATTTGTTCCACTAAGTCTACAAATCATTTAATGGATTGATTAACATTTATAATTTTCTAGCTAATGTGAGAAAATATGCTAAATAGGATAAGGAAAAGCATAAAATCCTCGCATTATAGCACCAGGAAACAGAGAACGGCTGTCATTTTTTGCTTCAAAAATAGCCAGACCATGAAGAAATCAAAATGGTTGCTCATCCATTTTAATACATTCTGATTTAAACAGTGAAATTTTTCTTTTGACATTTACATAAAGCGTTATTGGAGAAAGTATGAAGTAAGTCTAGAACTTTCCTGGCAGTTGCAAAGGTTATTGCAGAAGGACATTTATAAATATTTCTGCAGGTCTGTCTCTCAAATGTGATTAAAAGAAATATGCCTACTTCACACATTCAAAACCCATCCACATAATGCATGGTGTAAGTTAAGATTAAACATGGCCAAAATTTCAAATCACGAGGTCAGATTATGGGCAACTAATGACTGTAATCCAAAAGCCAGGCTTCAGATCTCCCTGAAAACTCAGTTTTTTCTACTCCATATATCTAGATATATGATATCCATATGATATCAGTGAGAGCTTCCATCCCCGATTTGTTCATTTGAGGGATATAAATCTTGCTGTGAGGGGCAGCCATTCAAAAGAAAGTCATTCATTTTATTTTAGTGAGTGTTTGAACACGGGAGCTTTAGGCTAGAATTAAATTTTTAAAAAGAGGATTAAAAAAAAACCCAATTGTGCATGCAGTTGCGACTACTGCAGAGTCAAGAATAAAGATATGAAGCTGGAAATGAACATAACAGGTCCTTTTAACATCTATCTTTTCTTGTCTCTCTCAGCCAATGTGGATACCTTTGAAAACGAGTCCCTATTCTCCCAGTAAAAGCACTTTCCTCCTACAGAATCAGTTTCCTTTCCTTCCGTATGTTTTAGTAGTTATAGTTTCTAACAAAACGTGCCTTAAAAATTTGGTTATGTTTCTCACTGTCAGAATTAATAATAATGTCTTCTTCTTTTCTGTCTTGCCTGCCCTATTTCATTGTTTGTGCCTCCCTCACCGCATCTCCCTCTGTGTTTTTCAATTCGTCGCTGTGCTGAATTCTGGCACTCCTCAGTATGATCGCTTCATATCGCACTCTGAAACGCTGATGAGAGTACCAGTCCTGACATAGGGAAAGGAGCTTTCACTCAAGCTATAAATTAGCTGACTGTGATGCACAAACACACAGCAAGTAATCATCAATCAGCTACAGATCAGTGACTTCGTTTTGTGGTGTCTGCATGTTTTCATCTTCTTACGCACTAATAAACTTTTCACTTCTGCGGCTCTTAACAAACCCTTATCGCACACCACTGCACCTTATCTGGCTTTAGACACGTTTTATTTCAAAGTGTGTTTGCGTGCCAGATCCAGCCTTTGTGTGGATTCAGTGTATGGCCTGCAGAGCTCTCTTATAATGGCCGTGCTGGAAGTAAAAGTCAAAACACTGACTGGTAGACTGATTATTTCTATTACCAGTTATTCGCCGTCTGGATTCTGTTCTGCTGCAGAGAGAGCAGCTCACTTACTCACTTTAGAATAACTGCTTTTGCTTATGTTTCCACAATTCAGCAGAGTTTTGGTTTTCATTCATTTTTTCCAGACTCGTGTAATGTTATCTGTTCACTAGCTGAACAAATGGAAATCATGGTCCCAGTCTTATCTTTTGCATGTAGATTACGGCACTGAAGACTGGCCAAAAAACAGATTTTGTTCAAAATGTTGTTACAATGAAAATAATGATTTATTTCCTTTCTTCATAATTTTTGTAAAATAAAAATATGTATGGACCTTCATCATCATTGTTGTATGATTTATTGACCAGAAATTAGTTTTCTGAATTCACAACGACCTTGACCTTGATATTCATTTAAAGCAATTTCAGTAATTTTCAGGAAAATTCCAGTGCATTCCTCAGGGTTCAGTACTGGGCCCTGTTCTCTTTTGTGTGTAATGCTTCCACTGAATACCATAGTTTAGAAATTGTTTTTTAATTGATTTGTTGCATTGACTCGCAAATAGTTTAGAATTGAAATGGTCCAGTGTTCCTGTTTATACCTCATGCAAATTACTGCAGACACAATTACTCTTACTGACGTCATTGTTTTGCTTTCTGTTCACAGATTTTCAGAAGAGCTGACAAAGATGGTAAGTGGAATTATGCCATTAACATAACCTGACTTATTGTCTTACATATAGCATGCAATATTTGTCGACTTCCCTGCATTTTTGATTCCTTTGACTGTACCAGTTA